GATCGCTAGGTCGGCCTCTCGTACGAGGTCGGCACTTGCAATATCCTTACAAATTGTTACAGATTAATCACACGATTTTTAGAGAGAGAAAGTGAAGAGAGATAGCTATTACAGTTGAGGTTCAACAACCCAAAATAAATGAGAAGAGTTGCTATTTATAGTAGCCTTTAATGTGGCACTGTTCGGGTACTGTTCATCAATCTTGTCGTACAGTGTTCCTGCGGGACAGTCCAGCACTTCCCTGACAGCATTAAATGCGATTTGAGGTTTTCCTCATCATTAGGTGACAGGCATTTAATGCTGACAGGCTTTATGTCTTAGCTAAGAGGAGTAGGTCTGCAGGCTATGATGTCCCATCCATTTAGCCAATGATTGCCCTCCAAGTGGCATTATTATATCATTATAGAGATCGACATTCTCCGTTGTAGAGACCCGCTCTGGGACCTCAAGTCGGCACCTCGGCATCTTACTTTCATCCGTTCCCCTGGTCCTGGGGAATCTTTCTTTCAGTCCGTCATTTTTCAGCCCGGCACCCGTGGTGTCGTAATTGAAGATACCGAACTGACGGATGGTCTCACGGCGATGCCAGGGTCAAAAGGTTTTCAGGTCCAGCTCGGCACTTTATGGACGGACCGAGTCTCCGGTTCGGCTCTCGGAATTGTGTGGTCCGGTTCAGTCTCATGGGCGAACTCGGATGTCAACAATATTTAATTTTATGAACTAAAAATATATTATGATTCATATAATAAATGTCTACATCAAATGATAGTATATTAAGATTATAAATTATATATTAAGATTCATATTATAAAAATTAAGCATAGTAATTTTTAAAAAATTAAGATTAATTGATTGATTATGCAATTTAAAGAATATTTTTAGCGTTCATTTTTTTTTTAAAAGGCACAAATATGAAGACCGAGATTCTAAAACTTTTGTTATATTTTGAATTAAGATTTTATAAATATAGAGACCGAGATTTTAAATATATATATATATATACTGAATTTTAAATAAATTTATTATTGAATTTTCAATTAAATATATTAATTATTATATATTTTATAATTATTTAATTTATTATCGATTTGTGGTAATTTTGAATTAATTTTACGTAAATTTTAATTTGTTTATGTTAGGAATTAAAAAGGTTAGACTTTTTTCAAAATAATAATAATAATAATAGGAACAAACAGATAATTTCAAACAAAGACGTAATTATTTTGTAAAAAAGTTGTGAAAAGTTATTTATATATATATACTACCACATATATTATCAAATATAGATTCCAAATTGAGTTGATGCACTTTGGTCAAAATTGCTGAGTCATTAAAATTTGAAAATATGTCCTACCACATTGAAATTTTAGGCAGCAATTTTGACCACAACTACAAATGACCAATTTTAATATTTTTCCGAGAGAATATACAACGATTTTGTTGTTTAGACAGGAAAATAATTATCCTTAAGAGTCGTCAACTTTCTTCGTATATTTTTCTAATCTGATGAGAGAATACCTTACTTCATACAGATTTAATTGGCCTTAAATATCTACTCCGTGCTTATATTTATGTTGATATGAAGATGCAACTTTAGAGACCAAATTTTATTTTTTACACATTGTTGTTATTTTTCGAAAAAAGTCTATTATAGGCATAAAAAAAATAGTCACTATATTACCACTTTAATAAAGTCTCGTAAAATTTTCGGGATGGAGTGATTATAAAATGCTCACATAGACAAATTAATTTCTTTTTTGTGACCTGAGAGGTCAAATTCCTACGTGGATAGATTCATAAGAAATATCAATTTGATTGATATTGAATTAATTTCTCGTTGACGAAGTGAGCTTGTATGTTGAAGGGAAAATTGCAGGATTTAGGTTGGGGTATGGATCTGTATTAGGTGATGAAAATGGGTTGCGGGGTGGATCTGGGTTGGGGGCTTGAACTTGGTTGGGGGATGGATTTGGGTTGGGGGATTGGTGAGTAGTTCAAAAAAATGGACCTCAAAAATCATACATGTGGGTGTTTGAAGATGGGACCTTATTGAAATTTCATGCATTCATGTTGTGAGTGTTGTTATCTACCAAGGGTGGGACATAGCATATTTCACTAACTCGTTCTACAAATCTGAAACCTATAGAAAGGTGTATGAGCATGCTATAATGCCAATCAATGGGAGAAATGAATTGACATATACCGATTTTTGCCACATTTGCCTTTTAATCCAGGTAGGACACGTGACAGGCCTACTAGAGTAAGAAAGGTCGTAACAGATGAAGTTTATCCTCAAAGAAAGAGAAAGTCTAGAGTGAAACCCACAATTGTCAATAATATGGCCACCGTTATGAGACATCAAAATTCTTTGAAATGCAACTTTGTCATGTGGAGGGACACAACAAGAAGACGTCTCTTGTTGAAAGAGGGAAATGCAGAAGTACTTGTGGCAATAGGTAAGGAAAGAGGCCTAGAAAATTGCTGGTACTTTATTTCTATTTCTTTATTTGTATTTCATACTTCATGTTGGACTCTATGGATTAAACATTCTGCAGTTTCTATATAGTTAGTAATATAGTTTGTCTCTATTTATATTCTTACATGGATATAGTTACTATATGATTTTTGTTTTACTGTGATGCAAGAAAAATCCAAGAAAACAAAGATAGGACCAACAAAATACACGTGTCTCTCATTTCTGTTTGGACCCTAATATGCATTAATTCAAGCAACCACGCATCTTGATCACTAAAGACAGTGTGAAAATATTGACAGATGTAGAGGTATGGTTATCCAAGTAGTTAGATGTGAAGCATTCGAGAGAATTGGCACATGTTCTTGAGGTCGAGGATCACAAAAATGAAATGTTACGATTATCTCGAGCCTCGTGTCTAGGTACTGTCATAAAGCTCATTCCTAGAATGCATGACGCAAAGGCAGTCCTTTATGCATGATAATAGAAAGCTAGTGTATGCAGTGCAATCAATGAGGTCTGATATCTATTATTGCCACGTGCATAATTAATAGATATCAAAGTAATCCTAGATGTGCGCATTGATTCATGATAGAACATATGATCAAGCGACTGTAACTGGGTTAAGGATAATATTTTGGGCTACCAAACGAACCATGCAACATATGGATTACAAAGGATTCTAAATTCTAATCAAATGTGAACAATAAGTAAAATCTACCTCGAGGTTTGTATTTATTCGTGAGGTGGAGGCAATAGTTTGGAGGAATGTCAAGCAGTAAAACTTTGATAGATTCCACCATAGAAACTCAGAACATCATCAGTTGAAGAGCAAGCCATGGAAGAGGTTTGACTTCGAGAACCTCTATTGGACTAGGAATGTGAAATCCTAGTTTGCCCAAGTCAGATCATAATTTGACTCTGGTGACAGTTGGTGCAGTTGCAAACGGGTAGGAATCACAAGTTCATAAGGCAAATAAGTTCATATTGCTAGTACGACCCATTGCGAATAATCGCAAAGGGGTGGATGTTTTGTCGCCTAGTTCCATCAGTAGACGACCAAGTTGATCCTTTTAGAATTGACTTTCTGGCGAAGGCATATGATTGCCATGTTAAGGGATTTAGAGTCGGATGTATGGCAGTTAGGATAAGAGTTCTCTGAGAATAAAGATTGAAAGAGAGTATACTTAGGAAAGTCGAGAGCTTTAAAGTATAAGTGGAATATTGTTGAAGTATACTGTAGAAGCTCGGCTACTCCCAAATTCATTTTGAATGAGATGTGCGCCTTTAGTCAAGTTATTGTTGGTAGTTTGTTTATTTATGCGAACATAATTTCTTTTCTTATTTATTTATGCGAATATATTTCTTTTATTTTAAATTGCAGATAATGTGGTTCGATGTGTTGAACAGGAAGATCACATTAAATATAAATACTTGTTCAAGGCCTAGACAGAATTGAACTAACTACCTGGAAAGGTTGTAGTATGATTTTCGAGTTAGTTGATCTTTGACTATCTGGTACATCTCGCATGTATTTAATGGACCTACAGGAAGATAAGATTATTTTATACTGACTAAACAAATAATCTAGACCTCAGTAATTGTTGCGTTCTCTTAAACTGTAAGATAATACACGGGTATATGTATTCAACAGTTACTTATTTGATTTATCAATTGTAATACCTATTTTGTTAGGTTGACATACTCAGTATTTTGGTAAATGATGTTGTTTACATGAGCTCGGTCCGTTGGGTTGATGACATCCCCGAAATGAGCTCCAGAAGGATTATTATATTAAACTCGGCCGGTGGATTAATTTTCTACATAATAATAAAGTATTGAGTGGTACTATTTTCAGTTTAATAAGTTGATTAATTATATTGTCAGTAATTAAATTAATCAAAGGGCGTTATATCTTAAACATGGGGAGGTAAATCAAGTGATTAGTCGGGAGACAAATTAGTTATAACTTAGAGCTAAATGGGGAGTGATATAATATTACTCTAGTAGAATGTTCTATTATTCATTTAAATAAGGGATAGGTATAGACATAAGGTCTTCTAAAATGTAATAAGTTGAAATAAATAAGGTCTACTAGATGTTAACAAGTTGAAAGGCATAAGGTCTTCTATTTCTATTTGGAAAAGCCCATATTTAGAACCTACTTATGGTTCGTGTTGTAGCCCATAATTACATTAAGTCCCCTAGCCTCCATCATAATGATACACACGCCCAAAATCAGATTTCACACTTCCAAACATAGTTCTACACGCCTATTATATGTGAAGAACAAGAGTTCTTTTCTTAAGAAAATTCGAATTAAACCGAGAGGCCTTAAGAGAAGAAAATCAAGAGGCTTTGAGAGTTCCGTTAAATTGCTCCACCAATATTGATCGGAGAAGGTGTAAAGGTCATACAATAGAAGATCCATAAGGTTTTGTTCGTATCCCAGAAATTATATATATATGCATCCAGTCGAATATATACATTCCCGCAACACCTCAGATGACCATGAAATTTAGAGAGCATGACCACCGGAGGAAGGCGCATCCACCGGTGTGCCCACGATCACCAGCTGCAGCTGTACGCATCGGTACCGGAGCTCCACGCGCCGCAGGCGCACGGTCGTGCACAACCGCGCAGACCCGTGCAGACAATGCGTGACCCGCGCAGATAACGTGTGACCCACGAAGACCTCGCAGTACCCGAGAAGTGTCCCAACGACCCGCCTTCTTCGTGCGCGATCCGCGTCTCCCAGCGTGACGTGGAGCGAGATCCGCATATTCCTCGCGACTTTGCAGCCTCCCTGAGCGAGTTGTTCGCACAACCAGAGCCCGTCACGCGTGAAGTCTCGACGACAGTGCAACAAACCCATGTAGCTTCGACCACAGCGCAACAGACCCGTGCAGCCTCGACTCTAGCGCAGCAGACCCTAGTTTGTCCCACCAGCATCGACCCAGTCCGCAAGCAGTGCACCGGATCCGGTCCAGTCCAGTTCGGTCCAGCAGTGGCCCAGATCGGTTCAACAGCGGTCCAGGAGTCCCGAAGAGTGGTTCGACCAAACCACCGAAGGTTCAGGACACTTCGACGGGCTCGACGAGCAACCAGAGACGTGAGACGCGAGAGACGGTCAAGGTCAGGTGATGGCGAGGCCAAGTCCAACAACCCAACGGACTCTGAGGTTCAGACGATCTCTAAAGCGGAAATTAGAAAACGTCCAGAGTCAGACAAAAAATTTAAACCGTAAGTCCTAATCCTAACTATAGATTTCGCTGCGTCAGTATTTATTTTTTATAGATTCGAATGCGCATATAGGCGACGTTCTTTATAAAACCCAACTCTGGAGGCTCGCTCAATCCTTCTTTCCCGAGTGAACTCGACCTCACTTGTTGAGTCTCGCTGGCGCCGCTTGATGAGTCTCTACCAACACTTGGCGGAAATTTATTTTTCACCATATATTTGATTCTTAAACTTTGCTAAAAAAAAATATTAAAAGCGACTTGAAACAAGAGTGAGCGATTTGGGATGGATAAGCACGTTTGGAAGTTATTCCCTTGATTTGTTGATTAAGTTTTGTCTTATTGATATTAACTTCATAAAAAACTGTTGTTACCAGCTTTAAGTGTAATTAACTTGTCCATTAATTTTCTGGTATGTTTTTAAATAAAATATATATTTTTAGCTTCTTTGCAATTAATGATACATTGGGCTGTAATAATAGAATAAGTTGTTAATGTATAATGCACTAGCTAATTTCCTCTAATAATAAGCACCATGACGTTTATGTAAAAATTGTCTTAAAAATGACATTGAAAATTTGTCGTGCAGCCCAAATCCCATGTCCACTTTTGCTTTCCTTTTTGTCTGACCCAAACTCTATTGTCTCAATCAACCCAACATTCTTATTTACAATAAAAGCCCAATCATCTTTTCTCCCATTCCTTTTTCCTCGGATCAGTCATCAGAGCATCCATTAATTTTCCTTTGTAATATTTCTTCCTCAAAATCTATTTTCTTCTCCAAATTTCCTCCTCATTTTTGCCCAATTTCTTCCTATTCCCTTTCCTCCTATATTGGCAGAAACCACACAAAAACTCTTCCCTTAAACCCTTTTCGTCTTAACGCCATCTCACGCATCCCTCTCCGCGGCGGCCCTCGGCTCGGACTGACGGAGGCTCTCCAAGGCCGACGATTGCGTGACCCGAGTGCGCAGCTGGTCGGCCCAGCGGTGCTGTCATCGGCATGTATGGTCTGATCGTCTTAGCCTAGGATTTTGGATAAAGTATAGAAATTGTGCATTGGTTGATCTGGATTTTGGGATATTGAGTTGTACAAGAAAGGAGAATAAGAGCAATGAATTACCTGTGGAAATCTCTTGTGAATTGGTGGCGTGCGTGTGTATATTTGAGGGGAGTGAAAACGAACTGTTACTAAAATGTCTGATAACAATGAAAGAGAACATTGATTTTTTTCTTTTTTTTAACGCAACGAAAATAATATATATATCAAACTTGAAACAGAGATAGGAGAGTACAAGGAGGCGAGCACACAGGCACATGGCTTAGATTACATGAAAGTAACTAAGTGGAGGTGGGAGCAGCCCACCAAAAAAACTAGCCAAATACATGCAATCTAAATAAAAATACACTAGCAGGCCCACAAAAGGAGAAAACGGAGAAGGCAAACAAAAGGAAGAAACTGTAGTCGTGAGAACACACGTGGATACTCTGGCACTGAGTCCATGAGCTCCTAGCTTAGCAGCCACAGAGAAACAGTCCTTCGAGAAACCAAAAGAGAATATAAATAGATGATTTAAATTATGGGAGGTTGAGGTCTTCGAATTCCAACCATTCCTTCCGAGCTTGATTGGCAATGTCTTTTTTAAATATCCAGATGTTGTTGAAGATCCAAAGGTTTCTGCATTTCCACAATCTCCATAGGATGAAAGTTGAGAAATGGATTCTGTCATTAAAGCTTCTAACTCTCTTCATGTTGCATATGTCTGTCCACCAACATTTGAAAGTTAGGGAAGGATTCTGCATGCCTGACCATTCAATGCCTGCCAATTTCCAGACTTTGACAGCTCGTGTACAGAAGAAGAGGATATGCTCTAGGGACTCATCAGTATTTCCACAAATTTTACATATAGGATCCATCTGGATTCCTTTGAGTATGAGTTGATCTTGAGAGCCAATGAATTTGTGCCAGCACCTCCATAGGAAATTTTTTATTTTGTTTTTAATTTTCATGGACCAGGTTGTTTTCCATACCTTAGCTGTTAATTGTCTGGCTTTGCTCGATTCAGGATCATTCTTAGCAGTCTGCTTACCCTTGATGATGAGTGAGTAAGCTGATTTTACTGAGAACTTTCCAAGTTTGTGCGGCCACCATTTCAGACTATCCCCCTGGCCTGGTTTGTTTAGAGATGTGGACAGAATAAGCTTAGCTTCATGAGGAATGAAGGATTGTTTTTGATGGGAGGATTTCAAAACATGGGAGAGTGGAAAGTGAGATTTGTTCATGCCATACACAGTTGCCATCCATCCATTAATTCTTACATATTAGGACACCATTAATTGCTATAAGCTTAAAAAAATGCTTACAAAATTATGAGTGATCAAAGGAGAGTCTCATAATAAATAGAAACACTTATAGCAATAATAAAGAAAACTCAATTAGAAACATTAGAAAAATTAGAAGAAATAAAATAATCAACAAAAGAATTACAAGATTTGGTACAAAAAGAAAAAAACACAGAAAAAGTTAATTAAACTAGTTCACATAGAATCGCCAACACGTTGTAATATGATATAGATAGATTAACTCAATTATTAGAAAAATATAATATTGAAGAAACTAGAATGACAAAAATAGATGATGAGAATAAACAAGGAATAATATATGAGATAGATAGTGAATACGAAGATGAACCCACATTTAATATGATTGCTCAGAAACCTTATATAACACCACCATTATCATCAAAACGACCTAAAACTAATAACAATGAAACATATAGTTCGCAAAATAATTATGCAGAAAGAAGTTTTAGAGATTTTATATATAGAAATGACTATATTCTACCAACATATTTAGAAAAAGAAAGAACTCTATCAGGTGTAATATTAAGTATAGATTGTGCAACCAATGCAAAAGCTTTAATAGTCACTTGGACTAACCAATTAAAATTATTAGTTCAAACTAATGATTCAATGACAAATGGAATGACATTAACAGATTTTGTCAATTATATAAGATATAAAACACCAGGAGTATTATTTGGTTATCTACAAAAATACTCGAATCCTATTAAATTTTGAAGCCAGTGGTTCAGAAAATAGGAACAAAATATAAAATATGAGTTTTAAAAAGATTTGGCAAAAGACCTATTAAGAGAATTTTTAGGAATTATAGGAAAAGAGTCATAGGAAACACAAAAAGATAAGGTAGTTAGATTTCTAACTAACATGAAGTTATGCAATACATGCTATATAGAAATTTTTTTTCTGTCAAGTAAGAGAAAATTTCTATAAAATTAAAGATCGATCAGGATTAATAGAAATAGTTGAAAGTAAACTTAAATATAAAATCAATAAATATATTCAGAAAAAAATCAGTGAAACAAGAGAAGAAAAAACTCTAGGAGTTTTAGAAAAATATGCGAAAGAATATAGAGATGAACTCTGTATAACGAAACAAGAATACCATGAAATGACTAAAGTCGATTCAAGATGTTGTTAACGATTAAAAAGTGTACAACAAGAATTTGGTTATTGGGAACCATATAAAAAGAAAATATATCATAAATACAATAAGTTTAATAGACAATATAGAGCAAGAAGATATAAAACATTTAGAAAAACATGGAAACCAAAATATAGAAGAAAATTTAGAAAACTAGAAAAATACTTACAAAAATCCAAATATTGTCCTAGAGGAAAAAAGAATGGCAAATATTGAAAATGTCAAGAAATAGAACACTACGCAAATGAATGTTGATATTTCTTTAGGTTCTGAACCTATAGAAGAAGAATACGAAGAAGGTGAACAATTAGAATTCGATATATATGATCTGGAATCAGAAACAAATAGTGACTTAGAGTCATTAGAATTGTTTGTCATATTTTTTTTATCTTTTTATTTCTTTATTTATTGATTTTAGGCCCCCGTTTTAGGTCTTTTGATAGAAAGTTTGGTCCTCTAGTCGTTTGTCTCGTGTGTTTGCCGTTATTTCTTTATTTTTGTATTTTCTGCTGTTTTGCCTGTTTTTCGTCTGTTTTTCTCGTCTTTGGCGGTGTGCAGGTTCAGATCTTTCATCACATATTTGGAGATGTTCAATTAGAAGAGAAGAACCCGAGCAATACGTCCCGACCCTCTCACACAAGTTAACCAGCGCGTTCTGGAGATGCCGAACCAACCCCAGTGCACGAATCCCTCAAGTGGCCTAAGTCCCTGTGCCGCGGCAGGGTCCACGCCGCGACACCAAGAGTTCCACATGGGTGTCACGCCGTGACACCTCTCACGACCTTGGCAGAGTCTCCATTGTTCCCAAGCGTCGCGCCGCGGCGCAACCTCGCTATCGCGCCGTGACCAAGCGCGCGACCTGCTGCGCCGCGGCGCCGAAAAGTTCAAATTTCGAAATGTTCTTTTNNNTCGAGCCTAGGGCAGGAAATAGATATATTCTCAGACTTGTATTTTTTTCGTTCTTCTCTAGCACAAACATATTTTCTCTTGGTTTTTCACTTGGTTTGATCTTTGGAGAGTAAAAACTCCAATCTTACCTTTCGGATTTGAATTGCTCTCGGTGTTTGACATTTGGATTCATATTAATTGTAAGTTCTTGTTCTTGCCTTGTTTATGATTTTGATGGCTTTGATTGATATGATAATGAATTTTGGGATTGAGATGAGTAACTAAATCCGTTTGCTAGGGATAGGGGATGATTGTTTCGGTTCGCTTTTGATTACGTGCTTGTCAATTGTTCAATCTATGCGAGTTGTGTTTAAACTAGGTTTAGTTGATTGATCACCAGTCTAACCTCGTCAATCGACTTTTAGAACCAAAATGAGAGAAGTCGGTCGATTTAGGCTCGTTTAGAATAGGCTTATTCGTTATTGTATTGTCTATGTGTTATTGGATTTGATAGTTGATCGTTTACATTCACTGTCTTGTTATGAAGAGTTATTGAGAGTGAACCTCTAAACGAGTAAACAATTCAAGTCTTTTAACCGAGCAATTGATTGCCCGGTAATTGTGTTGGAACCGAAAACGATTATCCCCGACTCCCTAACTCTTTTATTATCAAGTGAAGTTGTTTGCAACTGGAATCTCGTCTTGCTTTGTTTGAGAATCGTAGTAAATAATCAAAACAAAAAACAATTGAATTAGACTGTTTAGAAATTTTGTTTTCTCTTTTTGTGATTGACTATACGTACGAAATAATTCGGCTAACCTTCCTTGAGACACGACCCGCTGATTGAATCTTTTGATTTAACTCCGGTAAAAATAACTATAACAAGAATCAAAAGATGAGTAAAAATAGTTCATTCATAAAAGTAAAATTATTTAACAAAACTCTATTAGCATATATAGACACAAGTGCATCAATATGTTTAGCACAAGAGTATATATCACCCATAAAATATTAGAAGAAATTAGACAAACCATTTATGGAAAGAATCGCAAATAATAAGATAATAAGTATCGAATATAGCGCAACAAATCTAGTTGTTAATAGACGAAAAACGATTTTCTTTATCAAGTCTTTATAAACAAAATACAGGTTTACCATTAATAATTGAAAATAACTTTCTTAAGTTATACAATCCATTTATCCAAAGATTAAACATCATAAGTCGTAAATGTCCACAACTAGATACACAGTTGAATAAAATAATTACCACAAAAATATATAATACGGCTTCTCTTATAAGAGGGGAGATATTAAGAAAAATTTCATTTCAAATTTATAAATTAATAAGCATAACATTAGTAGAACATGTTAATCAGTTATAAGAAAAAATATGCAGTCAAAGTCCATTATATCTAAATAAAAACACGAATAACATGATAGTAAAAATAGAACTAATAGATCCTAACAAAGAAGTCAATGTACCAAATAGAGTACCATGTACAAAAAGAGATGTTAAAGAATTTCAAGAAGAAACTACTAAATAGAAAAGGGTATTATACAACCTAGTACAGGTCCACATAGTACACCGGCATTCCATGTAAAAAATCATAATGAATTAAAAAGAGAAAAACGTAGAATGGTTATAAATTACAAAGAAATGAATAAAGCCACTAAAGGAGATGCATATAAGTTATCGAGAGAAGATTACATCTTTAGTCGAATTAAAAAGGCAAAATGGTATAGTATATTAGACGCTAAATTAAGATATTGGCAGTTAAGGTTACATGGAGAAACTAAACCTTTAACAACATTTAGTTGTCCACATCAAAACCACTAAGAATACAATGTAATGCCATTTGGACTTAAACAAGCACCTAACATATATCAACGATTATGGATAATAATCTTAAGGGATTAGAATCAATAAGTGTTGCTTATATAGATGATATAATTGTTTTTACACAAGGATCAAAAGAAGATCATTTAAAAGAACTTGCAAATGTTTTGATACAATTAGGAAATAAAAGAATTATTTTGAGTAAGAAAAAGCAAACGTTTATAAAACAGAAAACATAATTTTGGGTATGAAAATAGTTTGAAGGAGGCTATATAGAACCACAATAACATTTACTCGAAAAAATACACTAATTTCCAGATCAGCTTGAATACAGAAATCAAATCCAAAAGTTTCTTGGATGTTTGACATACATTGGAGAAAAAAGTTTTATAAATTGTCTTGCTAAAGAAAGAGAATTATTACAAAAACGATTTCAGAAAAAATACTATGAAAATGGACAGATAATGCAACTAGAGTAGTATAGTCCTTAAAAGGACTGTTGTACTCAATTACCACGGGTTTATCTACCAAAGTATAGTGATTTACTTATTTTAAACACTGATGCAAGTCAGGATAATTGAGGAGCAGTTCTTCAAGCAATCTCAAATGCATATGAAGAGTTTAATAAGTTTACTGCAAAGAACAAACCATATGAAGTTTAACCCTTTATACGAAGGATGACTAAAGATAGTTTAGATGAAATCAGTGAATCTAATGATTCTATGCAAACATAATTAGGTTAAACTAATAGCAAGCAATTACTGTTATCCAAATGAGTATCAAAAACGTTTAAGCAAGCATAACACAACTATACAACACATGAAAAAGAAACAGTAGTTTTGTAAATGCTTTGGAAAAATTTAAACTTGACTTACAACTAGTGAAATTCATCTTTCAAACAGATAGTTTATACACAAAATATCGAATAAAAGAATCCTATAACAATTTTGTTGTAAGATTATGTTGGATCAAAATTATGTTGTTTATGTTGGATAAAAGTTAAGGACGTTTTTCAAAACAATAATTATCTATCATCTTCAAGGCTTTGTTATTTGGGATGATGTTGAGTTGATTTTCGGGAGTTAATGAAAGAAACAGTTTGGGAGATGTGTGGAATAAAGTAAATTCGTGGGGAATAATTATGTGAGAATGGTTGTTTTTTAGGAGATGTTGAAGATTTTGTTCATATATTTTTATTAATGAATTAAATAATAGTTACTAGTTAAAATATAAGATATGATGAGTATTAGTGTAATATTAATTTGCCATAAAAAATATTTCAAAGTAAGAATTTTGTAGGTAGTTCATTTTTTTAATTAGAAATATAAGATAGGATAGGTATAAGTGTATTACTAATTTTCCATTAAAAATATGTCAAAGTAAGAGTTATATCGGTAGTTCATTTTTTTACAAAACGATTCGTCCTTTTATAATTGTATAGATAAGATTTTATAATAGTATAGATTAATTTTTTTCTTTTCAAAATTTAATTTTCCTATTTTTTATTTATTTATTTAGTTTTGGGAAGATGAAAGTCACATTGTTTTTTTCTTTTTTAATTAAGAAAATGAACGTAACTAAGTAATTTTATCATTTCAGTATTTTAGAAGATAAATAAATATGCACGTATAAGACTATCTTTATCCCCAACCCAACCCAACCCAACCTAATAATTAAAAATTATTTCTCTCTCCTCCATCTACACAACTCAATCTTCCAATCCAATTTATCTTTATCCCCAATCCAACCCAACTTAAATATTTATTTTATTTTAATTTATTTAAATGTTACAATTGTGTTCTAAAATATATCAAATGTGGTCTCTATTTGTAGAGAATGAAAAAATACGAATTTTAGTATTTTTTTTTATTTTTTTTAGAAACAAAAAAAATACACTTATACAATAAAAATGAGACAAGTGTCCCATTCCTATACAATAACCGGTCACGACCCGAGGTCATCATGTGACTTGGGTTGCTGAAAGTTGTGACCTTTTATTTTTTTTTTTATTTTTTTTTTGTCTTATTCCCGTGACCCAATGGGTGGGTCACGGATAAACATAGTCTAAATAACTTGAAGGAAAGAAATGCATTGGACATAAAACACAAATAAGTATAAAATATTATATGAACAACAATGTTATAAAAAATCACAATAAAATACAAATAACCATAACTATTATATGAACAACAATGTTATGAAAAATCACAATCTAATTAATTATTTTCAACATTTCTATTTAAAATGGTGCCGCTGCTTGGACACAAATAAATCCGCTCAAAATTAGTATTTTTTTGTTAAACATAGTTAATTGTAAAAAAAAAGTGGTATGGTTAGTTGTTAGTGAGATTTTAAGTTTATATTAAAATAAATTTAAAATAAATAATTGATGTAAAAGTAGAAGATAAATGATGTGAAACGATGATTAGTTAGAATTGTGTGTGTGGGTGAATAATAAATTAAAGTTGATGTGATGTGTAAGAATGATTGACTAATATTATTTAATTATATTGATAATATTGATTCTGGCGAAATTAGGTTAAAGTTGAGTTAGATTTTGAATATAATTTGATTATGAATTGAGTTTATTTACAGACAAACATACCCTTAAGAATTTAAAGGAAAAATCTGATGTTTTAACCCATCAATTATTTTTTCTATAATTTTTCAACTCAGACCAGCCTGACGAGTCGATCCGGAATTGGTACTAGTTTGGGTGGGTTATTCGAGCTGGGTAACAATGGACTCGGTCAAAACCCGACCAACTCTGCATTGACCCGGTCGACCTGGGGCATTGGTTGACCCAACTCCTATATAGATATATATTGTTTTAAAATATTTTTTTTATTTTATAAATAAAAACTATGTACATATGTTTATATGATAAATATTTATTATGAGATACAGTATTATTAATATTTTTTATGTACAAATTTTATATACAAATAATTTAATTTTGTTATTTTTATATATATTTATATAATAAAAAATAATATATATATATATAATTTATAAATTTTACAATTAATTATCAATTCAACAATTAACATGTCCCAAAAACCTGCTCGGATCGACTCTTGGCGGGGTTTAAAAACTATGTTCTTTTCTCATTTAAGACATGTTCTTGTCCCCTTTCATAATCGTCACTATTGTTTTGGTGAAGTTGCTACTTGCTACCCATGGATGACGATTATTCATCTCTCTAACAGACTCCTGAGACTTGCCCCGAAGGAGAAGTCTTTAGAAAAGAATCGGTGACGCGGCAGTCGGCGGCGAAAAAGCCAGTCTCCGGACAAATCACGTCATCTTTTTCCGCCATGGCCCACTTCTTCAATTATTTCTGGAAGTGGAATTCAATTTCTCTTCATATCCGGTCCCATAGCCCCATCCCACTTTATGTGTATCATCTTGTTTTTATCATCTTTAGGTAAAGATTGTAAGTTTACTATTGGGAAAGAGAGAGAGAGAGAGGAGAGATGGGTTGGAGAGGGATATTGGGTTTCGACTACGGGATTGTTCAGGCGCCATTAGGGCCCGATATTTCGGGCCCAGAGCTCGTTGCAGCTGCTGCTAATGCTGGTGGTCTTGGTTTTCTCAGAACCCCTGATTGGGTAACTGTTTTTCTTTTGTGCTAACCGGTTACTTACTGGTGTTTGTTGTTGATAAGTGTGGTGTAGCGTGATATTTAGCTGCTGATAGTTTTTTCTGCCATGATCTTGCGATCTTGTCTTGTGTGAGAATTTGTGATAAAAATGAAAAACGAGCTCATCAAGAATGTGTTGCTCATGAACTTTTTCTTCTCTGTTTTCTTTTCATATCATTCCATATATTTTTGGGGCATTCATTACACACATATATATATTCACTAAGACTAAAACCTAGATGACGGCTAAGGATCTGGATCCTTCTTCTCTTCATTAGCTGTGGTTAATCTGAGCCGTCCACGTGGCTGCATGGATGGAGACTGGAGTGAGAGAGCCGTTATACCATTGCAGCTGGCCTTTGTACCTTGTGTACTAAAATCCTCACGAGCTGCTGCATGTTGTTTGTCTTCATGCAAGGAGGAGGTGCATTGGTCATGCTGACGAGGCAAATGCTGATTGGATATTAATTTATCACACCCCCTCAATTCGAGCCAAGGTAAGGAACTCACTGTAAGTCTCTTCTTAAGCTTGGTGAAGAATTGGAAACTCAAGGCCTTTGTAAAGATATCTGCAACTTGTTCATAGGTAGGAACATGATGAACATTGATCTTTCCTTGTGAAACCTTCTCTCTAATGAAATGGATATCAAGCTCCACATGTTTTGTTCTCGCATGCATAACAGGATTACTTGCTAAGGAGATAGTACTCTGATTGTCAACCCAGACAACAGGAATACCTTTGACTTAGAACTCCTAACTCTTTTAGCAATGATTGCATCCAAATCAATTCTGTAGTGCAATGAGCTAAACTCCTGTACTCAGCTTCAGTACTGGACCTTGAAACACAAGCTTGCTTCTTTGATGTCCAAGACACAAGATTATCTCCCAAGTATACACAAAAGCCTGTTACAGATCTCCTGTCATCTATGTCACTGGCCCAATCTGCATCTGAAAAGGCCATCAAAGAAAAGAAAGGTCTTTTGTTTTCTTTATGTGGATCCCATGGTTGACACTTCCTGCAAGATACTTTAAGATTCTTCTAACTGCTTTGAGGTGAGTGTGAAGAGGGTTAGACATGAACTGAGATACTCTATTCACACTATAAGCAAGTTCTGGCCTTGTTATGGTCGCATACTGAAGACCTCCCACAAGGCTTCTATAAAAAGTCACATCTTCCAAAGGATCACCATCAGATTTTGATAACTTCATTCCTGTGATCATAGGAGTAGGTGATCCTTTGCAGTTTTTCATATTTTCTCTTTCCAAAAGCTGCTTAATGTAACTTCCTTGGCTGAGAAACAAACCATCATCAGTCTGAGTCACTTGAATACCAAGAAAATGATGAAGATCTCCTAAGTCCTTTATAGGAAAAGCCTTCTGGAGCTGAGAGACAACTGATGAAATAAGAGTTTCATTATTTCCTGTAATCAAGATGTCATCAAAATAGATAAGAAGGTAAATGACATCCTGATTCTTTTTCATGTAGAAGAGAGAATTATCAGCCTGAGAGGTAACAAAGCCAAGGTTCACTAAAACATGCTGCACCTTTTTGAACCAGGCCCTTGATGCCTGTTTTAAACCATAGAGAGCCTTCTTTAGCTTACACACCAAGTCTTCTTTGCCTTTGACTTCAAACCCCAGTGGTTGTCTCATATATATCTCTTCTTCTAACTCCCCATGAAGAAATGCATTACTAACATCCAACTGCCTAATTCTCCAGGAATTATGAACAGCCAATGATAAGATCAACCTTATAGTAGTTGCCTTAAGAACAGGGCTGAAAGTTTCCTTATAGTCCAAACCTGCATATTGGGAAAAACCTTGAGCAACCAACCTTGCTTTATGTCTAGAGACTGATCCATCTGAGTTTCTTTTTAACTTGTATACCCATTTGCACCCCACAAGGTTCTTTCCTTCAGGAAGTTGTACTAAGCTCCAAGTCTTGTTGGATAGTAATGCTTCATATTCCTCAGTCATTGCTTGTCTCCAGGATTGAAGTTTAACTGCTTGATGGAAATGCATAGGCTCCAGTTCATCTTGTGAAGTCACCACATAAGCTTTAGGTTTGTGAATTCCTGCCTTTCTTCTGGTCACCATAGGATGAACATTTTGAACCTGAGTGGTGTTTTGGCTTTCATTCACTTGATTATTCTCATCATGACAATCCTGCAAGATAGGATTAGTAACAGAAGCAGGAGAAACATTTTGCATAAAAGGTAACTCAACCACCAACTGTACTATAGGTAGAATGAGATGAGTCTGGAGTGTGTTGTAGAGGACTTTGATGTGTTGAGGGTAAAGTATTTTCTGGATCTTGGTTAATGGTTATTGGTGTTTGAGGAGTTGTGTTTTGAGGGATTAAAGGTGGGACAGTAGGAAAGGACAGTCTGGTAGGATCAGTGACACCATAATCTGATTGAACTTTATCCTTTTGAGCAAAAGGAAAAACACTCTCATTGAATAGAATATCTCTGGTTATGATCACCTTTCCCTTTGGCAAAAGAACTTTGTACCCCTTGTGAGCACTGCTATATCCTATGAAAACTCCTTGTTGAGATCTGTACTCCAACTTGTGTTTATTATAGGGTCTCAAGCAAGGGTAGCAAAGGCAGCCAAAAACTTTTAGGCTCTTATAGTTTGGTTTATGGTTGAACAGTTTCTCAAGAGGAGTTGCATGGTTAAGAAGTTTTGTTGGCACACGGTTTATGGTGTAAACAACACTGGTAAAAGCATCATCCCAGAAACTAAGAGGCATAGATGAGTGGGCCAACATGGACAGACCAACCTCTACTATATGTCTATGCTTTCTCTCAGCTAGACCATTCTGTTGAGGGGTGTATGGACATGACACTCTATGGTGAATACCATTATCCTCAAAAAATTTAGACAAACTTCTATATTCACCCCCCAATCACTTTGAACAGTTTTGATCTTAAGCTGAAGTTGGTTTTCAACCAGGGTTTTGAAATGCACAAAGGCTTGGTATGTATCAGATTTTTGTTTTAACAAATATATCCAAGTGAACCTTGTGTGATGGTCAATTAGACTGAGATAGTAAGAAAAGCCATTTCTGGATTTTATGGGTGCAGGACCCCATAAATCAGTATGCACAAGCTCCAAAGGTTTGGAAGTGTAAGAGGTAGAAGATTCATAAGGCAATCTGTGGCTTTTACTCAACATACAAGCATTGCATAAACTGATATTTTCATTAAAAATAAAAGGAACATTACAATGCTCAAGGGCTCTCTTAACAACATCATAATTGACATGCCCTAATCTTTGATGCCATAATTCTAGCTCACAAGCCTTATTCACACTGAAGCTAACAGCAGCAGGTTTCTTAACATAAACTGAACCATCATGAGAAGTGGATACTGATGGCTTGAAATTCCTGAGATTGAACTGATAAAGACCATCCTTAACTCTCCCTTTGAGAAGAACTTCCTGAGATACTTGATCCTTAACAAAACAAGAATCAGAATGGAATTCATAAATCACTTTGTTGTCCAAGGCAAATTGAGACACACTTAAAAGGTTCTTTGTAATATTTGGAACATGAAGAAGGTTATTTAAGGCAAAGACTCTTGACTGTAATGGTGATTTTAAAAAGGAGTTACCATTATGCAAAATGTTTATACCTGTTCCATTACCTAGCTGAAGTTTGTGTGGTCCTGAATAGTCATTGGAGGTGCTGAAATTTCCAAAGTCATTTGTGATATGATTGCTTGCACCAGAGTCTGGAAACCATAAGGTATTCTCTTGATCAATTTCAGAAGCAGGATATCCTCTCACTTGAGCAACATTAAGGTTTGGTGGTTTGTTGGTTTGGGCGTTTTGGTTGTTCTGTGGTGCATAGTTGGAATCAAATCTGTACCAGCATTTGTTTGCACCATGACCAGGCCTTTGGCAAATTTGACAACTGATTTGTTGACCACCTCGGCCATTTCTGCCTCTGAAGTTTCCCCTTGAGCCTCTTCCTCTAAAATCATTGTAACCTCCTCTACTCCTGTTGTCTGTTTGGTTGAAGCTGTTAGGAAAGCCTTTCCTTTGGTTGTGGTTCTGCTGAGAGACTGTATTCAAGGAAGGTTGAGATCCATCAAGGCTCACATTGCTGGGATTGTAAGATTCTAGCCTTGATTCATAACTCAACAGCAGGACTTGCAGATCTATCATGGAGAAGGTTTCAAGTCTTGAAGTCACAGTGACAACAACCGAGTCATATTCTGATCCTAAGCCTCCAAGAATATGCATGATCTTGTTGCTTTCAGAGATGTGCTCATTTGCAGAGGCCAACATGTCAAACATGGATTTTATCTTCCTCAAATACTCAGTCATAGAAAGATTTCCCTTTTTGAGATTTTGCAGCTGCATTTTGTACTGCATGATTTTAGCCTTTGATTGGCTAGCAAAGTTTCTTTCCAAGGCCTCCCAAATGTCTCTGGAGCTGTTTAACCCAGCCATAAGAACAAGGATCCCTTCTGAAAGTGAGCACAGCATCCATGAAGCAAGAAGAGAATCTTGTCTTTCCCATGAGGTGAAATCTGGATTTATGGAGATTTCTCCTTCCAAGAATTTTGGTGGAGCAGCAATCTGTGAACTGATAAAGGACTCTAGGCCATATCCTTTAATGGTAGTGAGGATCTGCTGCCTCCATATGAGGTAGTTGTTTTGGTCGAGTTTGGAGCTGGCTTTGAGGGAAGACAAGGCTGGGTGTTGCGGAGTTTGGATTAGCTCCTGAAACAAAAGATTGATGGGACTCTGTCATTGTAGAAAAGGTTCAAGATGAAAAGGTGAGGTAAGGGAAGAGGAGAGGGGATATCAGAGACATGGCCTTAACCATGCTCTGATACCATGTGAGAATTTGTGATAAAAATGAAAAACGAGCTCATCAAGAATGTGTTGCTCATGAACTTTTTCTTCTCTGTTTTCTTTTCATATCATTCCATATATTTTTGGGGCATTCATTACACACATATATATATTCACTAAGACTAAAACCTAGATGACGGCTAAGGATCTGGATCCTTCTTTTCTTCATTAGCTGTGGTTAATCTGAGCCGTCCACGTGGCTGCATGGATGGAGACTGGAGTGAGAGAGCCGTTATACCATTGCAGCTGGCCTTTGTACCTTGTGTACTAAAATCCTCACGAGCTGCTGCATGTTGTTTGTCTTCATGCAAGGAGGAGGTGCATTGGTCATGCTGACGAGGCAAATGCTGATTGGATATTAATTTATCAGCTTGGTGTGATTTTTTCATTTCCTTTTCCTTTATTTTTGTGTGGATTCTTTTGTACAAATTGGGATTTTAAATATTGAAGTAGTTTATTGTGGATGGCAGTGAAGACAAATTTGTTCTTGCATTTTTAGTTAATTATCATCATTTTGATGTGTATCTGCGGTAATTTGCTAATCCCTTTGGTAACAGTCGCATATTTATTTTTATGCATAACAGGAGGCACCAGATTATGTGAAAGAACTTATAAGGAAAACTCGGAGTTTGACCAATAAACCATTTGGGGTAGCTGTTGTTCTAGCATTTCCTCATGAGGAGAATATAAAGGCTATACTGGAGGAAAAAGTCGCAATTTTGCAAGTTTATTGGGGTGAATGTTCGAAAGATCTCGTACTTCAGGCTCATCAAGCCGGCGTAAAGGTTATACCCCAAGTAAGTTTCTTCATGATATCCGACATTTTGAGCCCTGTTAGAATTTATGTAGTGCGAAGGTTTCTTCACAATAGCTGCTAATGTTGCTTTGAGTTTTTATATAATATTGAACCTTTGTGTTCTCACTGATTTGAGTATATCTGAACTATTTTGAGCATCCAAAAAAATGGCA